TGCTGATGCTAATATCGCGTTCCTGCCCTTTGACACACACACAAAAACAATCTTTTATACAAGTTTCATTTGCAATAATCCAATTTCCAAAGAGTTAATTTTGCATCAACGCAAGGACAGTCGGTAAATTGCAAATTGCAAAAATTTCTGAAATGTTCATAGAGGTGTCAAAATGAGAACCCATTTTTTTATAAAATGGGTCAGATATGAGTTGGCATATTATTAATAAATGGGTTGTCATAGGTTTGAGCTGGAAATCTTAATCAAATATGAGTCTTCAATGGTCTACACTATTACCCAACCCAACCAAACCCGCTCTACCTGCAAAATCCTCCTCTATGCCGCTTCTGCCTCCGCCCCAAGCGCTTCTTCGTCCATTGCTCCTCCCCCTCTTCTTCTTCCACTTCGTCCTCCTCTCCTATAGTGGCCGCTGCCTCCCTCGCCGTTGCCGCCTCCCTCTTCGGCCGCAACCGCCGGTGCCCGTCCCCGTCCTCTTCAACCTCTGACAAAGGAGCCGTTCAAATCTGGCAATGCTTGAGCGTCGCCATTCTAGCGAGGCTTGAGCCTTGCGGCCCTTAGGCATCGAGCCTCGCCCAGCTTGTCGGATCTGGCAAACTCGAGCCTCACCAGCCTGTGGCGATGCTCGAGTTCGCTTGTGGTCGTTTGCCGGCTGCTACCGTGGCCGGCGACTGACCCGGGAAGAAGCGAAAAAAGAAAGGAAAGGAAAGAAAAAAAGGAAAAAGAAAAAAATTAAAAATTAAAAGTTTCGAATTTTTTGTTAATTTTCCCTAGAAAATCAAATTGAATACCGAATGAAGAAAAATATTTTCCAGTTCTTTTTCAGGTTTCAGCTGAACACAAAAAATATTGTCATTTTTTCTGCATTCAATGTGATTTATAGGTTTTTTTACATTTTTTTTACAAATTTATTTATTGTTTAATTTGCTTTTTTAATTTGACACGAAGTTGTTATTCGAGTAACATATACATGTGAAGAGCTTAAAGTGGGTTAAGGCTGCGTTTGGTCGACCGGATAAAAGCCAGGATAGGATATGTTTTATCCTATCCTGTGTTTGGTGATGGTCCAGGATAGGATAAGGTCGGATATAGACCGGATATAGCCCGGATAAAAAAATCCGAGGGGGGGGGTGGGATAGACCCGGATAGGATTTCTAATGCCTATTTTTCCAGAAACCCTACGCTCCACTCGCTGTCATCTTCATCCCCACACCTTGTGCACTTTCACCAAAAAAATTTCTCAGCTTTTTTTTCCTTCACCGACTCCTCCGGACCCGTGAATAGCCAAAAAAAAATTATCCTATCCGACTTTAAATCCGTAGTCCATCAAATAGTGGATATGATATGAAGAAATCCCAGGATTTCTTATCCTATCATATCCAGTCCTATCCTGTTTAGAAATCTGGACAACCAAACGCAGCCTAAATGAAGAAGCCAACAATCCTTTCAACAGCAATCTATGGAAATGTAGTGGTGATATCATTTAAAATTACTTTAGTTTTCCAATAATTAGTATCTACCCAGAACCCACTTCTTCCACATCTATTTAAACTATATCACTTTATTCGATAAAGAAAATTTGCTAGAAAGCCCGGCTATCCTACATTTTTAATTCTATTTTAAAATTTATCACTTATTCTAAGATGGGTTTGGTTCCTACATCCTTAGGTATGTTTGGCTTTCTTCAAATTTATAGAAATTAGAAAACGAGAGAATAATAGATGACCTAGAGTTAACAAAATTTATGGTGAAGGTAAAAGTACCAAGAAAATAGAATAGCAGTGATTCGTTCTACAATTAGTGTAGAAAAATTCTTATACATCGTCGTTGGATTAGTGATACGTGTGTTTTTAATTAGTTTTCTCATCAAGGTCTTTCACCGTCAAACATCCAACGGTGTATGTGTAGTTTATTTTCTACGTTAATAACGAATCTAATAAAAATCCTAATTATTATTGTCGTTTTCCCAACACAATGAAAAATAAAAATGCAAGGACAGTCGGTAAATTGCAAATTGCAAAAATTTCTGAAATGTTCATAGAGGTGTCAAAATGAGAACCCATTTTTTTTATAAAATGGGTCAGATATGAGTTGGCATATTATCAATAAATGGGTTGTCATGGGTTTGAGCTGGAAATCTTAATCAAATATGAGTCTTAAATGGTCTACACTATTACCCAACCCAACCAAACCCACTCTACTTGCAAATCCTCCTCTATGCCGCTTCTGCCTCCGCCCCATGCGCTTCTTCGTCCATTGCTCCTCCCCGTCTTCTTCTTCCACTTCGTCCTCCTCTCCTATAGTGGCCGCTGCCTCCCTCGCCATTGCCGCCTCCTTCTTCGGCCGCAACTGCCGGTGCCCGTCCCCGTCCTCTTCAACCTCTGACAAAGGAGCCGTTTAGATCTGGCAATGCTTGAGCGTCGCCATTCTGGCTAGGCTAGAGCCTTGCGGCCCTTAGGCATCGAGCCTCGCCCAGCTTGCCGAATCTGGCAAGCTCGAGCCTCGCCAGCCTATGGCGAGGCTCAAGTTCGCCTGTGGTCGGTTGCCAACCGCCACCATGGTCGGCAACTTGCCCAGGAAGAAGCAAAAAAAGAAAGGAAAGGAAAGAGAAAAAAGGAAAAAGAAAAAAATTAAAAATTTCGAATTTTTGGTAATTTTCCCTAGAAAATTAAATCGGATACCGAATAACGAAAAATATTTTCCTGTTCATTTTCAGGTTTCAGCTGAGCACCAAAAAATATTGTCATTTTTTTCTGCATTCAATGTGATTTATAGGTTTTTTTATATTGTTTTTACAAATTTATTTATTGTTTAATTTGCTTTTTTAATTTGATGCGAAGTTGTTATTCAAGTAACATATACATGTGAAGAGCTTAAAGTGGGTTAAATGGATGGATGTGGGTTTTCTCAAAATATTAATGTGTTTTGGTAATATGGGTCGGGTATGGGTATGGTCATCAAAATTGCATTGCATGAAAATGAATCAAAACGGGTTAAATGGGTCAATATGGGTCGGACCATATTTGATCCGACCCAATTCCGACCTAATTCACCCATTTGACGGGCCCATGTTCATCTAACAAATGTGTTGGTGCAGTTGGTCAACGATGCTCCGCCAGGGTCAAATTTTGTGTTCTTTTCCTTTAACTCTTCTTTAATTTTCTTTTTGTCCCTTTCCCGTTCAAAATTTGCAATAGCCAACGTTGACCAAGAAGTTTAGACCCCAAAAAAAAAAGGACGTTGACCAAGAAGGGATTCCAAAACACAGCCCACGCGCTTTGATTGGGGGAAGACACATATCAATCCAGGGTAAGAGGCTGAGAGCTTGACTATCATTGATTTCTATTAGATTCTGGAAGCTCAAATTCAATAATATTTGGATCTTGATTAGAGTATTTAATGCAATGGTATTGGACCTAATTTGTAAAAAAAAATAGGTAGAAGATAAGATATAGAAGATATAGAACTTTCACTAAAATTCATGCTCCAACGTGTGATGATTTCAGTTCCATATATTTTTCTAATGACAAAATTTGTAATTTAATATTTGAATAATTGTAAATTTATCACTTCTCCTAAGATATAAATTTAAACCTCTCGAATATCGACCCTTTTAAAATCAATTTTAAAAAAAAAGTGCAAATATTCAAAAAAATTGAACAAACTTAAAACCTCATTTCAATCTCGTTAGATTTCAAGTCTCGTTTGTATACTTGTGTGAGAATGATTTTAGTCGATCTCTCGAATCTGTAAGGAGAAACAAAAACTACTTTCGAGCCATTGTTGTAGGCTAGACAAGCGAAATCGACCCTACTCGAGCAAAGGGCTTCCGCAATCGCTCGAGAAATTATTCTTTCGAAATCGATAGCCATCAGATCATAAAAATGTGACATAACTCGAATGCAGGATTGAAGACCTTTGACAAGCCAGCTCGCGTCGCTTCGTTGCATATCGTGATGATGAACTCCCTGATTTCTTCATGGTTTTTTAGGAAATCGAAGTAGATCGATGAGCATAATAGAAATCTAGATATTTTTTTTCTAATAATTACTCGATATCTGTAGGACGAAATTATTGTATTTTATGGGGAAAATTCTAAATAAGAGCTCGAAATGCTCTCATTTTTCGAATAAGGGCATGAAATGAATCTTGTTTCAAATAAGAATGTGATGATCAAGGGCATTTTCGTCATTTATATTTTTTTGAACTTCTTTTCTTTTTTTCTCTTTTTTTATTTCTTTTTTCCTCTTTTTTTTTTTTTGGTTTTTTCTTTCTTCTTTGCCGCCGGTGGCTGGTCTCGAGTGATGGCCGACCACCGGCGATGCTCGAAGAGGGCCGGGCGAGGCGACCTAGCGAGGGCTTTGCCATGAAGCGGGAAAAAAAAAGAGACACGAGAAAAAAGAAAACGAAAAAAATAATTTAAAATTTAAAATTGTCGCCGGACGAAAATGCCACTGTCATGAGGCCACTTCAGGTTCTCATACGACACAATGTCTACTTCAAGTTCTTATTTGGAATTTTTCCTATTTTTACGATACTAATCAACGAGCTTTGTGGGAGGGGAGAAAAAAAAAAATTTTGGACGGCGCACCAATAAAAGAACGATGCAATCGAGGCTCGCCCAAAGCAACCCCCCCAAAAAAAAAAAAAAAAAAAAAGAAAGAAGAAAAGAAAATCGGCGGAAACGACGACGGAGGGAGAGGGAGAGGGAGAGGGGAGAGGGAGAGAGAGCGAGACGCGCTCCGTATAAAACCTACAAATCCGCCACCCTCGCCTCTCCCTCTCTCTCTCTCTTTCCTTCTACTCCTCCGCAGTGCAGCCATCGTTTACTCGGTCCTCCCATTCCCTCCTCAGACCGCGTCTCTCTCTCTCTCTCCTCCATTCTCCATTTCCATTTCCCCCCGCACGCGCTCGCTGCCGCAGAGAGGGAGAGAGAGAGAGAGAGAGAGAGAGAGCGAGGAGGAGGCGCGCCGCCCGCACGCAGATCGACTCGCGGGGGGGACCGGGAGATGGCGCTCAGCGGCAGCGACGGCGGCGATCCGAACCCGCAGCACCCGAGCCAGCAGCCGCCGCCGCAGCAGCAGCAGCAGTGGATGCAGCAGCAGCAACAGGGCCAGCAGCAGTGGATGATGGCGGCGGCGGCGGCGGCGGCGGGGGGCATGATGCAGTACCCGGCGGCGGCGATGGCGATGATGCAGCAGCAGCAGCAGCAGCAGCAGCAGATGATGCTGTATCCGCAGCATTACATGCCGTACCACTACCAGCAGCTCGCGGCTCAGCACCATCCGTACCAGCTCCACCACCAGCAGGGCGGCTACCACCAGAAGCCGCAGCAGCCGCGCCAGCCGCCGCCCCCGCCGCCGCACCAGCAGCAGCAGCTGCAGCAGCAGGGCGCGGCGTCGGGCTCCGACGAGGCCAAGACCATCTGGATCGGCGATCTGCACCACTGGATGGACGAGACTTACCTCCACAGCTGCTTCTCTCACACCGGCGAGGTCGACTCCCAAATCTCTCTCTCTCTCTCTCTCTACCTTGTATGTGTAGGTGTAGGAACGACATTTTGCGATTGGAGTTTTTTCAGTTCTAATCAAAGTCTTCGATTGTGGTTGGATCCCGGGTGGACTGATGAGTTTGCTCTGTTATGAGCAATGAAGTTAGGGCGAATGCGTATCAGGAATGGCGTGTTTGTTTGAGTGGAAGTTGGGTTTTTTGGATCTCGAGGGGGAGGTGTTGTTGGGTTGTTTGCCTGAATGCATCGCTCCAGATGATGGGAGATGAGGGAGTTTCGTGAGCTGTGTTTTTGGGGATAAAGCAGATTGATTTGATTGTTTTAAAGGTTTGAAAGTCAAACGTAACGTGCACTTCGGGTCAATTAAAGTGCGTCCCACATGATTTAATGCATCTTCTTGCGTTTAAGCCCATAGATATGCTACCTGCTGGCACAAGCAATTAATGGGTTGACCTATCGAACTTGAGTAATTAGGAGCCCTGGATCTGAGTGTTGAAGTGCTGAGGATGATGAATTGGAGATCGATCTGGTAATACTAACTTTTTGCTTCTAGCATAAGATTGACGGTGGCTAATGAGGAAGGCTGAAAGATGATTGATTCGGAGAAAGAACAAAATGAGACGGGAGGAAACATTGTGATCTAGGAAATGAAGTAAATTCCCTGGAAGAAACACACATTGTTAAGTCAAAGCTTGTTTTTTCATGCGCCATTTCTTTTTCTTGTTCTTTTTCTTAAACAGTTTTAAGAGATAATGGATGGGTGGTTGTGCATTTCACAAATATGGTTATGTAAGAAGTCCAATGATAGAGGAATACGTGCATGGTCGAGCACAAGGCTCTATAGCAGGTGCAGTATAATGTAAGTTTCATGTGGGAACTGGTAGTAGAAAGTCACATTTGGTTAGCCTCCCAGACTAGTAGAGTTGTTCCACATTATCAAATTGATTCTATTTGCTGAACAGGTGTTGATAAACAGGTATAGGTGAGAGTGGAATTAGAATTACTAGTGACTTAGATCGGAAATATATATGATTTGGAGTGCCTGTACCAATTCACATCATTCCAATTTCCAATAACAGAATACTATATCCTCCCCCCTGTTGCACTGGCAATTTTTCCTGAAAGAAAGCTCGAACCTGAAAGGTTTTCCAAGTAACTTCTTTCAGAATTTTAGAGGAAGTCTCATCACTTATTTCCCGATCAAGCTTTTTGTGTAAATATATATAAAGAGAAATAATGAATAGGAAACTTGTCTGTAGTTTTAGTTTGTGTTGTGCTATCGAATCAGAACTCCATGGAGATTGAAAGTTGTGCCTTGACAATTGTGATTTTTAGAGGGTGCTTCATGTTTAACCTCATGTAATCTTGGATAACTAGCTCTATAATAATTTTTTGTTTGACGAGAATTGAAGAAAATGCTTCCTTTGCTAGGTTTTTCATTTTAAAAGTTAAGGGAAATGTGCTCTGTATAATCTCTTTAATCTTTGCCATGGAAGCATTTTCCTGTAACTCCACTCTCATCTTCTGACTGGCTTCCTGCATGTGCAGGTTTTCTCTGTAAAAGTAATACGTAATAAACAAACTGGTCAGTCAGAGGGGTATGGGTTTGTTGAGTTTATTTCACATGGTACAGCAGAGAAAGTCTTACAGAGCTATAATGGCACTTCCATGCCAAATACAGAGCAGCCCTTCCGCCTGAATTGGGCAATGTTCAGTTCAGGTGATAAGCGATTGGACATGGGTTCTGACCTTTCCATATTTGTGGGAGATTTGGCTTCGGATGTAACCGATGCTTTACTGCAGGAGACTTTTGCTGCTAAGTATGCTTCTGTTAAAGGGGCAAAAGTTGTGATTGATTCAAATACTGGCCGTTCAAAAGGTTATGGATTTGTTAGGTTTAGTGATGAGAATGAGAAGTCAAGGGCCATGACTGAAATGAATGGTGCATATTGCTCAAGTAGGCCCATGCGTATTGGTGTTGCTACCCCGAAGAAATCATCCGGGTATCAGCAACAGTATTCATCTCAAGGTATGTGGAAATGATCCCTTCTCTTTGTTTGCTTGAGATCATCCTTAAAAATCAGGAAGGGTAGTTTTATATCACACAAGTCAAAATTTTGTCTCATATCTCCATTTATGTTTGGTGAAATTAGACTCTTCTTGTACGAGTTCCTGTAATTATGACCCACTCTTGTTTTTTTCAAACCTATTGGAATTTTTTGTTTTCCATTTGCTTTTGATATTATTCAGCCATTTAAGAAAACTCATTTTTTGGCTTACCGTCATTTGTATGTGTGGATATCATGTGCATCCGAGGTGTAACGCTTAATGCTTATAACTATTTCAGATTTATTGTAAGGAGGTCCGTTTAATAATGGTTATGGTTGTGCTGCGGCTGTACTGTGATATAGCCGTGCTATCTTGTGTTTTAGAGCATGCATTTGGCAATGCATGATTTTAGCTGGGTTAAACGGTTACTTACGTGGGAATATGCATCCAAGGACAATGAATCAAATCTTTGTTGATCCTCTCAGCAGCGGATGATCTCGGGCTTTTTGCCAGTGGGGTCAATAAAAAAAATACAATTTCTTTGTTAACATGAGGCAATCCACGATTCTTATGTTCGATAGCTTTTGCAAAATAATCTTTCGATGTTGAGATTTGACATTTAAAGCCATACATTAATTTGGTCCATAATTGTCGTCTGCGCCAATTATGGATGACTTGTGCATGTGATTGAGGTGAGTTGCAACGCTGTTATGGGACCGTACAAATGGTGCTGAATTGACCATATAATGTCCTTGGAATACAGGTCATATCTAAGACTGGTGGACCAAATTATATGCAGATAAAAGTCGCGTAACAAAGATTGCACACGATTCATATCACAATCCTTGCATGTGATTATGCTTAATTGCAATTGCATTATCAACATAGATAGTACAAGCTGACACAGAACATCCTAAAAATATTGTGTCACTTGAATAAGTTGTGATTCGAGTTCCATTTAAAAGAGGGTTTGAGACCATAACCACACAAAAATTTGGGAACTAAAATTTTTTTTTTTTTAAGTGTTTGAATATTTTCAGTGGATTTATAAGTCAGGAATATTGTTTTTCTTGTGATTGGGATGTGTCATATTCTAGTAGGGTCAAATTTTGTTGTTTAGAGATTTTAGTGGGGTCAAAGCATAAAAATGATGGGGGTAATATTGAAGTATATGAAGACAATTGTAGGCATTAATAGAAATTTTTGCATGCTGACCTGGGGAGTTGCTCGAACTCATGATGTTGTGGCTTCGTCATTGCTCTTCAATTCTCATTTGACTTTGGAGTGAGTAGAAATTATGTTCTTCTCAGTTGATAAACTGTATCAATAAAGTGTATTAAATTACAGTGAAATAAGTAAAGACTGCGTAAAGGGGTCCTTCAATGAAACATGGACACTAGATACTCAGTTGTGGTGAAGAGAAAGGACTTTCACGTCCTTATTTCTTCGATAAGGTCTCTTTGCTTGCTCTCAAGGCTTCTTGAGAGCTTGTTGTCTTGATGTGTAAATTATATAATTTTTTAGGTCCTTGCGTCTGCTTCCCATGAGAACTGTAGCTGTGAGGAAATATTTATTTATTTCATCACCCTTATGTTATCACCCTAGAATGTTGAGCTTGTGAATTTTCTGTAAGTCAAATAGGAATATATTAGTTCAGGTAACTCTTCAGCAACAGCTATTTATGATATCACAACATCCTTATTTTATTTAAATCAAGTGTCTTCTGTCTATCTTTGTCCCGTCATAGATATCTACTGATCGTCTCTTTAATTTAGCCTTGGTGTTGGCTGGTGGACATGCATCAAATGGTGCTACTTCACAAGGATCCCAGGCTCACGAGTCGAACAATTCTACTGTGAGTGTTCTCCATACAGTTAGTCATTTGAGCCCTATATATCTTGATAACTCAAGCTTTATTGCAGATCTTTGTGGGAGGGCTTGACTCGGACGTTAGTGATGAAGATCTCAGGCAGGCATTTTCTCAGTTTGGTGAGGTGGTCTCGGTAAAAATACCTCCTGGAAAAGGATGTGGCTTTGTGCATTTTGCAGACAGGTACCCATTCGTATTTCCTTTCGTGTAAAAGAGGGAGAAGAAAATGCTATAAAAAAGCCATCTAAAGTTATGAAAAAGCCAGTAGAGAAAAATGTGGAGGTCATCAGAGCTTTTCCTGCTGAAGGATGATAGAACATGAAGTCATTATCTTGCTTCCATGTATCACAATTAAAACGGTCTAGTGTTCACATCTGCTTGTTTCTGTCACTAGGAAAAATGCGGAGGACGCTATGCAGGAGTTAAATGGCACAATCATCGGCAAGCAGTCTGTTCGTTTATCTTGGGGCAGAAGCCTTGCAAACAAGCAGGTAAATTTTTAAAGCTCTTAGTTGATTTTTGGATGCCCCCTTTCCCAGCTTTTTTCAGGGAACAAAATGAAAAGCTTCTCGCATGCTTATCCTTATAAGATAGTCATTTTGGGCACCTTTGCTCCTCATATTTTGGTTGCTCCACTGTTCATTTTTAACTAGCTTTCTTGGAGGCTGCGAAACACCTTTCGTTTTTTCAACTGCATGGTGTGAATAGGGGTGGTAAATGAGTGGGTTGTGGGTTGGGTCGGGTCTGGTTTGGGTGGGAAAAGTATAAGTCAGGATCATATTGGCCATTTAGCTCTTATTCACCCATTTTGGTCTTATACGACTTAAATGACCCATACTTGAAACAACTTGGCCACCCAAGTCCACCCAAATAACCCGTATTTTGGATGCATTAAGAAAGTGACCGTTGCCATTGCTCAGCCTTCATCATCGCCACCGTTAGCACAGTCACATTAATGTCGTTGGAAGTTTTGTAAATTAAAAAAAATTAAATCTGAAATAGAAGATTTAATTAAGAAGGATCTAAATTTTTTTTTTCCGACAAAAGATCTCCAAATATTGACCAATTTATAAATAATATCGAAGTTGCAGACTTCACTTTAGATGTGCAACAATCTCTGTAAATAGTTGCAGATATGGACCACCGGTGATGTCACTGGTGGAGATGCCAAAGATGGTTCCATTCTAGGTCTCTCTCTCTCTCTCTCTCTCTCTCTCTCTAACAAGCGGTCGCCAGAGAAAGTAATGAGTGGTGGTTCACAGTGCGCAACTGCCACGAGTTTATCTCTCTCTCTCTCTGCTTACACAAAGTGGTCTCTCCGGTCAAAGACATGGTGGTCGCTAAGTCTTTCGTGTCGCCTCAGAATGGCAATCGCCATGCTTGAGACGGCAATGGGGTGGTCATTGTTCTCAGGCGACCTCAATGAATTGTTACAAATGATCGGTCAGATTTTGGTGGTGTGGATACATCAGATATTAAAAGCCACAGTTGTCGGCGTGTCTTATAAAACAGTATCAAAAGTCCAGCATGCCCTTCATCTCCTCTACTGGATTTTCCTAGCGACATTATAGATTTCTCCTCTCTTTCCTATGCTTATCAACCTTTTTTTGCCTCTATAATCTGCTTGAACTCACTCAATAGTGGTACGTGGTTTGACAGTGGAGAACGGAGAGGAGTAACCAGTGGAACGGATCATACCATGGTGGATATGCCAATGGGCATGCTGCTGCATCGAACCAGGATTCTGGCCTGCATGTTGCGGCTGTGGCTAATGGGGCTATGTAATAGAAGTAAGCTAAAAAACTTGTGGATGTGGGACGAATGGTCTTCTCGAGTTATTCACGGAGTTAAAAGTGTGTGAAGAATTTTTTCCCTTTTAGATTGTGTTTTGACACTAGAATTGCCTAGGGATGTATGAGTACTTTTAGTTGGATTGTGGGAGTAGAGGAACAGCTTGATTCTTTTTCGATAAGCAAACTTAGAAGTGCAACTGGCAACCATCACGCTTGTTCTCTCTTAAACGAGCCACCAGAATCAAGGTGATCGAGCTCTCTCTCTCTCTCTCTCTCCCTCTCTGATCACGGGCTTACGTATATGTCCATTAAGCATCGCAGAACATCGATGAATGGTCTTCTGTCTGAATCTTTCTCCTTAGGTATCTTAAGAATTAGGCTTATTCACTCTGTGTTTTAGCCTAAGGATGCATACTGCCGCATTCGTATATACTTTGTAGTTTCCATCATTTACAGGTGAATTTAGCTAAACATTGCTAAACTGCAAACGAGCTTATCTCAATACTCTCCCTCTCCCTCTGGTTGATGGATTGGGTCCTCTCCCCCAGCAACTGCAATGAGCTCATCGCCGTTGACGGAGGAAGCACCCGGTCTCCTTGGCTTAAGATCTAGGCTGAGCTCGTGTGATGTTGGCCTTGTTGCCATCGACAAAGCTTAATGCTTGGCGAGCTTCGTCTGGAGAGGGTAAAGCATAGTTATGGTGGTGGTGATTGGAGCAGGAAACAACCGGTCTCCTTCACTTCAGAATTAGAATGAGCTCGTGCGATGTTGAGCTTGTCGCCATAACCAAAGCTTAATGCTCTGCAAGCTTCATCTAGAGAGAACAAAGCATAGTTGTGGTGGTGGTGTTTGGAGCATTGCGAGGCGGTGTCATGGTGACCCGAGCAAAGGCAATGGTGGCCTCGGAGCGTCATGGTGGCCGCGGAGCGGCATGAGAAAGACGGTTGTGGCTATGGTTAGGAAGTGTGGAATGAAGATGACGATGGCCTAGATGGCCGCCCATGGCGGATTTTGGTTTTTGGCATGGAGGTAGCAAATTTCCCTCTTAACAATTTGAATCATATTTGATGCTCGGTTTGTCGATCTACCTAGAGGGTTGCGTTCGAAAGCCCGTCTTTCACGACGACGGAAAAGATTTCAAGGGCACCTTGGCCATTGTAATGAAATGCCCTTGGTCGGACGACTAAACATTTCCCTCTGGCGACAATGGTTGCGTGAGATGTCACGAAAGGCTCAATTAAGTAAAGTCTATCTATGGATAACGGGAACATACGGTGGCCTGGCATCCAATTATTCCGTCATTGGAATGTCCTTGTTGGGCACAAAGATCTTCAATCATCTCAACCATTGATGCATGTGAACCGGATGTGCTTAGTCTTACTGGTTCTTGGGTTTTTTTGGAAAAATCTACTATAGACCGACGATATACAAATTCATCCACAAATGGGACCATTTAACCACACTTTATAACTTCTTATGTCGATTACAGTTCATTGAGGAAATTAATTAAAAAATTTCTCGAGAATTTCATTTTACTTGTGAATTAATCCAACAAAACATAATCTCAATTTCGACCGGCATTAATCCTGATTCGTTAAGCAAAGTTAGTTCCTGAGTCCTAGTTGGTCGATGCATTATGCTTTAATTTTGAATTAATCCTTACTTTTTAACTTAATCTATCTAATAGTTCTCAAAACAACATACTCGACAGGACTCACAATAATCAAACCCCGCAGCTTGCTTTCATTCATTTATTTTTTCCATTTCCTCTATGGCATATCGATCCCCAAAGATGAGATATAAAATGAAGGAAATTCAAATATGTACATTTAATATAATCGTTCATAGACTAACATATCTAATATTCGACATGAACTATCAAATGCGTTGAAAGTTCAATTATAGAAAAATTTCCCTATTTTAAATTCCAAATGTTTATTTAGGGATGAATTTTGTCCGAAGATTGAGATATCTTAGTAAAAATTAGCAGAATATTTGTCCGTGATGTTATGTGAAATTCCGTTATTGGTTGCCGCTTGAACTTTGCTTTTGATATAGAGGAGATATGAACAGTTTTTTGGGTTTCATTGGTGATTTAAAGATGATTTTGAACGAAAAATACTGGGTAAAAAATAATGAATAAATATTTTTGTCACCAAAAACAAAATTGGGTAGGGAATAAGTGTACTGGAAGTTTTAAAACTTGTCATGAAAATGCGTTCTAAAACTTGTTACGAAAGTGCATTTGAGTTTTTAAACCTTTTAAAAAGTGTAATTAAGTCCTAAAACTTGTCAAATTGGTGGAATCAAGTCTTTCTGTTAATTCCATCCGACTTGGCTGATGAAAAATGATAACGTAACTTTTTGATTTTTTATTTTCTCTAGCCTATATGGTGATGACCTGGCTAAAACAAGAAAATATAATGCTAAAACGATGTCGTTGCGCTTTAAATTTGATTTTTTTAATACAAAATTTATTTCAATTATATTAAAAAATAAGCTAACTTAAAAAACCACTTAAAAAGGAAAATCCAATGAGGGTTGCTAGGAAGGGTTGGAAGTGGCCGGGGGGGGGGGGGGGTGAGGGGATGGCCGGCTAAACCCGCCAGCCCTTGCCTGCGGTCAGCAAGGGTCGCCGGCCATTGGCTGGGGTTGACGACCCTCGCCATAGCCTGGGATTTCCTTTTCTTTTTTCTTTTTTTAAGTTAGCTTATTTAGATCAAAACGATATCATTTTAGCCATATCAGTGCCACATAGGATAGAGAAAAAATAAAAAAAAAGTTGCTTTAGTATTTTTCGTTATCTAAGTTAGACAGAATTAACGGAATGACTTGATTGCATCAATTTGATAAGTATTAGGATTTAAATGGAACTTTTGAAAGTTTTAAAACTCCTTCGTACTTTTTTTTGGTAGGGAGACTTCAGGACAAGTTTTTTGGACTTTCATTACACTTATCCCTTTCGAGCATCACAATTAAGATTATCGTTTAGAAAATCGAAAGTATGTTTTCCGAGTTAACGGTGGCCTCTTTACCCTTGTACATTTCTAGTGTTGTATATATTTCCTTTCGATCATAAATGTCCATTTTTGCCTTTCAGTCTCATTCGGCTAAGATTCTTGTACCGCTTAACTTTCAATTTTGATCCGTTCATTGTTTCACTATCTAATGGTAATTCCTGTGATCTTTCACTTCAACGTAATAACATAATTTAGACGAGAGACAAGTATTCATGTTGGTGATTTCTGATGTCAATTCGGCGGGTCGTCACCCCCTTCCTAGGAGTTCTCCCACCACGCCAGTGACACACCAGCCACGCTCCTTTTCTTTCCCCGATCATTAAGCCCCCTGATGCCTTTCCTTGTCTTTCATCCCCCGAACGGAATAAGCCCAGTTCTTTCGAACTTAAAAAAGAAAATAGGCGAACATGTTTCCCTTCTGAAGTGGCAAAGGCCTCTATGCCTAATGTAAGAAAACAAGGATGTTAAGGTAACAAAGTAAGGCCAGCTGGTTAAGGCAGGCTTAGGTTTTCGACCCAAAAAAAAAAAGTAGGCTTAGGTTATGAAATCGCTTAGCCGTTAATTAATTAAATTAATTAAGTAATAATGAGGTGTTGATTGAGACGTAACCAGAGAAAATATGACATATATATGTTGTATCACATCCGTGACAGTTGCTTCAAGTTATGATTATTTACTTCGTACAATATTATGAGGTTCTTGTTATGCTTAAACTTTTTCATACTCCGCTGTAATTATAGTTTATATGATAATCTGATCCAAGCGCAAAGAGCAATTAGTATGCAATTATTTCCTTTACTAATTTACCAGATACAAACAGGGAATAGTTTTTTTCGGGGATACCCCAATTTCTTTCAGCCTGCTGGTAAAACCCTAGGCTATGTTTGATACGCCAGATATAATTCCGGATATGATATAAAATTATCCCATCCAGCATTTGGGTGACTTGAATTCCGAATTTCTCTGGATATAAGCCGGATAAAAAAATTCCACCTAGGAGGTGGGATATACCCATATAGGATAACAATTATAAAAAATGAAAAGAAAAGAAACAAGAGAATGTAATGGAGGAGGAGAAGGCGCGCACTTTTTGCTGAAATCGCAAGAGATCTATCCATAGAGGAGAAAAAGAGTGGGAGCCCATCGTGCGATGATTCCATCCATGACAGTCTTAAAATACTGTCTAGCTCCACAGTTGAAGACCATGAGCTGCACCGTTATTCGACATTGGAGCGCCGCCTAGCCTCATCCCTATCTGTCTCGATCTCTCTCTATCTAGACCTGTCGGATTGATGTGGTCTAATGCTCTAGACCTTGGATCTGAGACCGGCGACCTCAGATACAAGGTTGCCGGCCTTAGGAATCCTAGAGCTGGGGTCGCCTGAGGGTGGGGCTTGCACTCGGTGTTAGTCGCAGCCAAAGGTAGAGGTCGCAACCGCAAGCTTGTGTACGTTGAAACTAGATTTTGTGGCCAACGCTTGGAGGTTGCTTGAGGCTGAGCCTCGTCCTTGCGTCAGTCATGGCCTTTATGTCGCAGCTGGTGGCCTTAATGGTGAACGCCTGGCTAAGAAACGCACATTGCCCCGGTTAGCATAGAGCTAAAGTTAAGCAAAGGGACAAAGTCTGCGAAAGTGATACAGCAACAGAGTTAATTTTTTGGGGAAGAATTGCGAGAAGGGAGAAGATTGTATTTTAGAATTGGAATAGAGGAAGGAGGAGCGAAAAGATTGAGATTTGATTTGGGGACGTTTATATACGTTTGATATCTGATATCAACCAAACACTGTATAAGATATTATAAATCCCATCGTTATCCTATCTGACAAAAAAATCCAGACGATCAAACGCAACCCTAATTGAAATGTGAAAATCAACGAGTATGTTAGTGCTATGTACTTGTGGAACCTTCTTGCTTGTCCTTTAGATGTCTCTCTAATTTCTTATATTATAGTACAGACATATAATAACAAGTAAATTAGATGATTTGAAAGGTCAAATAAACTTATTTAGAATGGGAAGTTCTTCGTTTAAAATGAACTATGACCTTCAACTTGTGGTCCAAACTTTTTGAAGCTCTAATAGAATCAATATTAACACAATTATAAGTAAATTAAATGATTTTTTTTATCCATTATGGCAACAACGCAATACTTTCTTTTTCTTCTGTTTTATTTATTTAATTATTTT